CAAGGCCCTTTGTTTCCTCTTGTACCAAATTGTATTGTAACTGTAATGTTGTCTACCTTTATTTTGTAAAGCGCTGTGCAAACTGTTGGCGCGATATAAATCCTGTATAATGATATAAACCTACTTAGTGTTCCAGCATCAAAAACTAGAGTTGCACTTCTGGGTGGATTGGCTCTTTAACTTTTATAAAACATAAGCCTTTAAAATGCAAAAAAAGCAGCTAAAGCAGCACAGTGGCTAAATGGTTAGCACTTCCGCCTGGCAGTACTACGATTGTTGATTTTGAATCCCAGCCACGGCATCACCTGCCTGGAGTTTGCATGTTCTCCCTGTGTCTGTGTGGGTTTCCTCCCACACTCCAAAGACATGTTGGTAGGTGCATTGGCTCCTGTCTAAATTGTCCCTAGTATGTGTATGTATGAATGTGAGTTAGGGACCTTAGATTGTACCCCCCTTGAGGGTTAGGGACTGATGTGAATGTACAATACATATGTAAAGCACTGCAGATAATTGTCGGCGCTATATAAGTACCTGAAATAAATAAATAAAGCTGCCCATGGGTGTTACAATCTGATTGTACAAGTCAATCTACTACCAAGAAGTATGTAGTGGGAGAGTCTACCTTGTGGGATATACAGTGAGGAACAGAAGTATTTGAACACCCTGCGATTTTGCAAGTTCTCCCACTTAGAAATCATGGAGGGGTCTGAAATTCACATTGTAGGTGCATTCCCACTCTGAGAGACAGAATTTAAAAAAAAATCAGGAAATCACATTGTATGATTTTTAAAGAATGTATTTGTCTTGCACTGCTGAATATAAGTATTTGAACACCTAAGAAACAGCAAGAATTCTGTCTCTCAAAGACCTGTTACTGTGCCTTTAAAAAGTCCACCTCTACTCCACTCATTAATCTGAGTAGCACCTGTCTGAGCTCTTTAAAGACACCTGTCCACCCCACAGTCAGTCAGACGCCAACTACTACCATGGGCAAGACTAAAGAGCTGTCAAAAGACACCAGAGACAAAACTGTGGACCTCCACAAGGCTGGAAAGGGCTACGGGGCAATTGCCAAGCAGCTTGGTGAAAATAGATCAACTGTTGGAGCAATTGTTAGAAAATGGAAGAGGCTAAAGACAACTGTCAGTCTCCCTCGGACTGGGGCTCCATGCAAGATCTCACCTCGTGGGGTATCACTGATGATAAGAAAGGTGAGGAATCAGCCCAGAACTACAAGGGAGGAGCTGGTCAATGACATGAAGAGAGCTTGGACCACAGTTTCAAAGGTCACTGTCGGTAGAACACTATGCCATCATGGTTTCAAATCATGCATTGCATGGAAGGTTCCCCTGCTCAAGTCATCACATGTCCAGGCCCGTCTGAAGTTTGCCAATGACCATCTGGATGATCCAGAGGAGGCATGGGAGAAAGTCATGTGGTCAGATGAGACCAAAGTAGAACTTTTCACTCGTCGTGTTTGGAGGAAAAAGAAGGATGAGTTGCATCCAAGAACACCATCCTACTGTGAAGCATGGGGGTGGTAACATCATGCTTTGGGGGTGCTTTTCTGCAAAGGGGACAGGATGGCTGCACTGTATTAAGGAGAGAATGAGTGGGGCCATTTATTGTGAGATTTTGAGCAACAACCTCCTTCCCTAAGTCAGAGCATTGAAGATGGGTCGTGGCTGGATCTTCCAACATGACAACGACCCGAAGCACACAGCCAGGAAAACCAAGGAGTGGCTCCGTAAGAAGCATATCAAGGTTCTGGAGTGGCCTAGCCAGTATCCAGACCTAAACCCAATAGAACATCTTTGGAGGGAGCTGAAACTCCGTGTTGCTCAGCGACAGCCCCGAAACCTGACAGATCTAGAGGAGATCTGTGTGGAGGAGTCGGCCAAAATCCCTGTTGCAGTGCAAACCTGGTCAAGAACTACAGGAAACGTCTGACCTCTGTAATTGCAGACAAAGGCTTCTGTACCAAATATTAACACTGATTTTCTCAGGTGTTCAAATACTTCTGTTCAGCAGTGCAAGACAAATACATTCTTTACAAATCATACAATGTGATTTCCTGAATTTTTTTTTAAATTCGTCTCTCAGAGTGGGAATGCACCTACAATGTGAATGTCAGACCCCTCCATGATTTCTAAGTGGGAGAACTTGCAAAATCGCAGGGTGTTCAAATACTTCTGTTCCTCACTGTATATGAAACTACTTGTTTGAAGTGTTAGTTCACCATTGCAGAAAAAAATGTAAAGGAGAACTAAAACCAGACTCCCCCCCCCCCCCCCAGTCCTCGGTGTACTTACCTCCAGTGATACTGATCTGTCAGAGCCCAGGAAGCCGGTCCTGCGGTCTGTGGATTTGAAATCCCCCGCTCTTCTCCATGCAGTGGGAAAACACAACAGAGAGAAGGGAGAAGAGCAGGCAGGGGGTTGCGGTGTTAATTCACCTTTACATTTTTCAATAAAAGGTAAACACTTTAAATAGGCCTTCTCACGTTTATAATGGTGACACAACTAGATTGTAACGTGTGTGCAAGGACGAAGGTAAATTTTGCCGCCCCCCCACCCACTGTGTCCCCACGCCACTCCCCGCCCGCTGGTCATTGCAGAAGGGGAGTTTGCATCATCTTCTGCCAACTGGGCTGCAGCACAGAGCGCTATATGCTGCTTATCCTACAATACAGGAGCTGGCGGCAGGAGCTGAAGAGATTGACGGAGACGGCCTGGGGGAAGGAGGAGAGAGAGGGAGGGAAGTTTCTTGTTATAAGGAAGGTGGAGGACCATGCTCCACAGTTGAAGGAGATCACATGCTTGTTAGCCCCTTCCTTTCTGCCCAGATGTGGGATTGCCTACCATCTGCACCATCGCTCTACCCTTTCCCAGGGACTGGAGTTACGGATTTTACCGCCCCCCCCCCCCCCCCATCCTGGTGCCCTAAGGCGGCTGCCTATGCCGCCTATATGCTGGCACTGACCATCCTCAACAGGTACTTGGGAGTCCTCTGACACAGTGTTGCTCATAAATATGTTGGATAATTCAGAGCCTGTGGACAATATATTTGCTGAAAAGGTTTCTTATTATAAGGAAGGGGGGGGAAGCATGCTCCATGTTCAACAAGATCACATGCTTGTTAGCACGGCCTACAGCCCCTTCCTTTCTGCCCAGATGTGGGATTGCCTACCGTCTGCACCACCGCTCTACCCTTTCTCAGGGACTGGGGTTACAGATTTTACTGCCCCCCCCCCCCCCATCCTGGTGCCCTAAGGCTGCTGCCTACGCCTCCCATCCTGGTGGCCTAAGGCTGCTGCCTACGCCACCTATATTCTGGCACTGACCATCCTCAACAGGCACTTGGGAGTCCTCTGACACAGTGTTGTGCATAAATATGTTGGATAATTCAGAGCCTCTGTATATATTTGCTGAAAAAGTGTGTTAGCAGGGTGCTGGGCGCAAAGGTGAATTAAATCATATTTCCAATTAAGCTCTTAAAGACTGCTTTCTGCCAGCTGAGGTGCTGCTGCAGTCCCAGGGGCAGTCCAAAGGATATATAAAAGGATGAAAGTAGCAAAAATAAAAAATAAGTTTAGTAAAAAGTTTATTTTTCACAAAAAAAAGTTTTAAAATGAAGCCATGTTTTGGGGGCTCAAACATCCCACTTCATCAGGGCTTGTATGTTGGCATGTTTGATAATCCTGGATTTATATTAACAGGTTGTTAGAACAAGCCATGTATTAATATAAATGATCCGTTGTCCAGTATTACCAAACATTTCCAACATACAAATCCTGATGAAGGGGACGGGTGTCAGGGATCCCGGCGGCACAGCGGTGCGTGCATGCGCAGATGGCCGGCTCATCCTAGCCGGCGAGCACGGAGTCCTCGTCGATCGCGGCGCCGGCCACGCATGCGCACTAGCAATCGCAGCCGCACCAATGAGAGCACAGGGCGCCCTATTTAAACCTGCCCTGTGCATCTCCAAATTGCCTGATGGTCTTGTTCCCTGTACCTGTGTTCCTGCTGATCCTGTGTTCCTGGTTTCCTTGTTGCTGACCCAGCCTGCTCCTGATACTGCTGTCTTCTCCTGCCCTGACCCCTGGCTCGTCCTGACTATTCTCTGTCTGATCCTGATTGCCTGACCTCCTGTTACTGAACCCGGCTTGTGACCCGTTATTCTTCTGCCTATTGCTCAGTACTGTTTGCTCCGCTGTTGCCAACCCGGCCTGTCTGACTACGCATACCTCTTCACATCTGGCTCTCACCTGCACCACACCATTGGCACCTGCCTCTACCACAGCTGGTGTTTCTCAGGGGTTGCGACCTGGTCTCAGGCTGCTTCAAGTCCATCCCCACCATCAGGGGCTCTGGTGAACCAGCAGACTGAGGCTTAGACTCCACGACCTGGGGAATCCCGGCCAGTGGGCCGCTAGAGGCTACAGCCAGTCGGCTACTGACAACGGGTGAGCCCCCGAAATGGGTTGACTTTATCTTCTGAACTTTTTATTTTGAGAATAAACTTTTTACTGGACTTATTTTTGATATGTTGGACTCTTATCCCTCTATATATCCTGGACTTTATATTAGAACCTTGTCAAAAATCACACCACAATGTAAAGAACAGATACATAGTACATGCATAGTGACTCACAGCGGCAAATAGGAGCCAAAAGAACAATGAGAAACAATTGATCGGCCTGCACAGGTTAGTTCATTTTTCTTTTTTGATAAAAAAGGATCATTTGGTGAACACAATGCCGAAACCCAACAGAGTTTATTTTCAGAAGGCCAAACCAAGTTATTTCATTTTATTGCTGGTAACCCATGAACCCACTTATAACACATCCCCCACCCATTCCCACTGAGACCCATACCAATAATTAGTTAAATACATATAAATTATTATCTCCGGTCTCCACAACTCTGTGGAATATTACTGTCCATGATAAATAAATAAACTTTGGGCTGCACGTTGCCCACAGTCCCTCAGTCCGTATCTTATGGGGAGGGCAGAGCCCCACTCTCTTCCTCAGAGCAAAAAGACTCTGGGCTGTAGCGGAGCGGGCCATTGTGCCGTAAGATGTCTGTGTCTCTCTCTGATCTTTGGAAGTCTACATCTTCCTCCTCCTCTTCCTCTTCCTCCTCCTCATCGTCATCCTGGGCATCCTTGCTGGGTGCTATGCCCTCCGACCTCTTCCTGTCGCTGTGATTGGACAGCCCCTGTTCTTTTCCCTTACGACTCCTTTTCCACTTCATTCTGCGGTTCTGAAACCAGATCTTTACCTGGGTATAGAAATCAGACCGATATTAGAGATCCAATAATTCACAATTCATAAACATTACTTTCTTCAAACACCATTCTTTAAAGCGGAGTTCCACTCACTCTGTAAAAAAATAAAAGTCAGCAGCTACAAAAACTGTAGCTGCTGACTTTTAAAACACAACCACTCACATGTCCCATGATCTTGCGGTGCCCCCGCTGCAGCCCGTTTCACTGGCCGTCCTGTATTCCAGGCGCTGGCATCTTTAGTGTGGGCACCCGGCTGTGACAGCTTGCGACTTCACAGCCGGGTGCCCACTGCGCATGCGCAAGTAGCGCTGCGGTTCCTGAATGGCCTCGTCATCTTCTGGGACCTGTCACGTGTCCAATAAGACTTTGGGGAGGGAGGGTAGGAGGACAACTTCCGCTTCTGATCGCCTAGGTGTACGCAGCAGAAGTGGGAGCGGGTACCTGTCAATTTCGGGTACCCACTCCCCCCCCCCCCCGCTCCCCAAAGGTGCCAATCCTTAATGGGGAGCGGGGGACCAAACATTAAAGCGGAACTTCCCCTTTTGGGTGGAACTCCGCTTTAAAAACCAAAGAAAACTTCTTTTTTTTTTTTAACCCTGCTGCCCAAACTGTGGCTTGAGAGCCACATGCAGCCCTTTGGCACTCTTTGTGCAGCCTTCAGGGCCCCTGCAGACACTAATCTGTCTTTCTCTATTGCCCTGTTACAGCAGTGATATCTAGCAGTCTACTGTAATGTACACTCACCGGCCACTTTATTAGGTCCACCTGTTCAATTGCCTGGTAACACAAATTGCTAATCAGCCAATCACACGGCAGCAACTCATTGCACTTAGGCATGTAGATGTGGTGAAGACGACATGCTGAAGTTCAAACCGAGCATCAGAATGGGGAAGAAAGGGAATTTAAGTGACTTGGCATGGTTGTTGGTTCCAGACCTGCTGGTCTGAGTATTTCAAAAACTGCTGATCTACTGGGATTTTCAAGCACAACCATCTCTAGGGTTTTAAAGAATTGTCCGAAAAAGAGAAAATATCCAGTGAGTGGCAGTTGTGTGGACGAAAATGTCAGCAGAGAATGGGGACCAGAGATGGTTCAATCTTGAACCAGAGATGGTTCAAGATGGAAAGGCAACAGTAACTCAAATAACCGCTTGTTACAACCAAGGTATGCAGAATACCATCTCTGAATTCATAACACATCGAATCTTGAAGAAGATGGGCTACAGCAGCAGAAGATCACACCAGGTGCCACTCCTGTCAGCTAAGAACAGGAAACAGAGGCTACAATTCTCACAGGCTCACCAACATTGGACAATAGAAGATTGGAAAAACGTTGCCTGGTCTGATGAGTCTCGATTTCAGCTGCGTCATTCAGATGGTCGGGTCAGAATTTGGCGTAAACAACATGAAAGCATGGATCCATCCTGCCTTGTATCAACAGTTCATGAATGTGCAGACGACAAATCTGCAGCGACTGCGTGATGCTATCATGTCAATATGGACTGAAATCTCTGAGGAACATTCCCAACACCTTGTTGAATCTATGCCATGAAGAATGAAGGCCGTTCTGAAGACAAAAAGGGGGTCCAACCCGGGACTAGAAAAGTGTACCTAATAAAGTGGCCGAATGGGTTTCCATGGCCGAGCAGCTGCATCCAAGCCTTACATCACCAAGTGCAATGCAAAGCGTCGGATGCCGTGGCGTAAAGCACGCCGCCACTGGACTCTAGGCAAAGCAGCTGATGGTCCAGCTCTGTCTGAATACTAACAAATGTCATGTGCCCATGGGACACCAAAGGGAAGCCATATTTCCATTATTATTGTAACAAGTAACATTTGTATCTGTTTCATAAGCAATTTTATAAATCAAACAATCTGAATTTTAAAATAACTGCATGTGCATTGTAGGTGAGTCTGTCATTCATGACAGGTCCTCTTTAATGCATAAACCTGTGTGTCACCCACCTGCGTTTCCGTCAGCATAAGAGACGTGGCCACCTCGAAGCGCTTTGGCCGTGACAGATATTTGTTGAGCTTGAATTGGTTCTCCAGTTCCAACAGCTGCTGACTAGTGAAGGCTGTCCGAGGCCGTCTGCATTTCCCCATAAGACCAGGCTGGGCGGAAGCTGCAGGACAAGAAATGTCAGGATTACTATACAGATCTACAATGTACCAGTTCACAGTGGTCACGATTAAAGCAGAACTCCTGTGTAAAAAGGATATTTGATCCTGTCTTCTCTGATCATCCTCTTCTTCTGCTGTCCCCAATCCATCTGTTGATAAAACAGAGCCTTGGGGGAAAGCTGCACATGCTCAGTTGGTGGGTATTGCTAGAGCATTTTTTTTCCCTCGGGAGAGTGCATGTGATCAGCACACAGCCAATCAGCACTGTCCAGATAGAGGGTCAGGGGTTATGCAGTCTCATAGTACAATCAGGGAGAATGAATACTCCTACAAGCTTTAACCATTGCTCTGACAGATACTAATAGAAGTCACAAGACTGCTATATACTGCTGATGAGAAGAGGTATTTAGCAGGTTATATTTACTAAAATAATTGCATTTCAACGTTCTGTGTACTTTGGGAGACCAAATATAGTGAATGCAGGGTCCGGGGAGACCAGATATAGTGAATGCAGGGTCCTGGGAGAGCAGATATAGTGAATGCAGGGTCCTGGGAGAGCAGATATAGTGAATGTGGGGACCGGGGAGACCAGATATAGTGAATGCAGGGTCCGGGGAGACCAGATATAGTGAATGTAGGGTCCAGGGAGACCTGATATAGTGAATGTGGGGTCTGGGGAGACCAGATATAGTGAATGTAGGGTCCTGGGAGACCAGATATAGTGAATGTAGGGTCCAGGGAGACCTGATATAGTGAATGTGGGGTCTGGGGAGACCAGATATAGTGAATGCAGGGTCCTGGGAGACCAGATATAGTGAATGTAGGGTCCAGGGAGACCTGATATAGTGAATGTGGGGTCTGGGGAGACCAGATATAGTGAATGCAGGGTCCTGGGAGACCAGATATAGTGAATGTAGGGTCCAGGGAGACCTGATATAGTGAATGTGGGGTCTGGGGAGACCAGATATAGTGAATGCAGGGTCCGGGGAGACCAGATATAGTGAATGCAGGGTCGGGGGGAGACCGGATATAGTGAATGCAGGGTCCGGGGAGACCAGATATAGTAAATGCAGGGCCCTGGGAGACCAGATATAGTGAATGCAGGGTCTGGGGAGACCAGATATAGTGAATGCAGGGTCCGGGGAGACCAGATATAGTGAATGCAGGGTCCGGGGAGACCAGATATAGTGATTGCAGGGCCCTGGGAGAGCACATATAATGAATGCAGGGTCTGGGGAGAGCAGATATAGTGAATGTAGGGTCCGGGGAGACTAGATATAGTGAATGCAGGGTCCGGGGAGACCAGATATAGTGAATGAAGGGTCCGGGGAGACTAGATATAGTGAATGCAGGGTCCTGGAAGACCAGATATAGTGAATGCAGGGTCCGGGGAGACCAGATATAGAGAATGCAGGGTCCGGGGAGACCAGATATAGTGAATGCAGGGTCCGGGGAGACCTGATATAGTGAATGCAGGGCCCAGGGAGAGCAGATATAGTGAATGCAGGGTCCGGGGAGACCAGATACAGTGAATGCAGGGTCCGGGGAGACCGGATATAGTGAATGCAGGGTCCCGGGAGACCGGATATAGTAAATGCAGGGTCTGGGGAGACCAGATATAGTGAATGCAGGGTCCGGGGAGACCGGATATAGTGAATGCAGGGTCCGGGGAGAGACCAGATATAGTGAATGCAGGGTCTAAGGAGACCGGATATAGTGAATGCAGGGTCCGGGGAGACCGGATTTAGTGAATGCAGAGTCCGGGGAGAGCGGATATAGTGAATGCAGGGTCCGGGGTTTAGTAACACTTTAAGGTAGAAAACCTTCAGTCTTTAAAATCTCTATATACAGTATATTTGAGGTTGTTTGGGCTATTATTTTTTGAGTTTACACTTTATGGGGTACGGTCATTTGAATAAAGGTATTTTTTGTTACAATTCTTATTTATGTATTTTGATGTATTTAGTGGATCTTGGAGGAAAGCTCTATCTATATTATTATTATTATTATTATACAGTATTTATATAGCGCCAAAGAGATATATTGTTGTATGTCCTTTTTTCTTTGAAGTTAAGGAGCCCTCCTCCTTCTTCCCCTCCGCCCTCTGTTTTGTGTGGGGTTTTCTTCATTTTGTTTAAATTTGAATTGGAATTTTTAATAGAGCTATTAAACTGTTGTCTTTGTACTTGTTAGAAAAATTCACGTATTTGTCCTGGTGACTGAAATGGAAAGAAAATACAGAAATTTTGAATGTTCACCAGAATAGTAATAGAGGGGGAATCTTCCAGTGGGGACACTAGTTCTGGTGACAACCAAGGATTTTTCCTCACTTTGGAGTCATTTCCTCTCACTTCCTGTTGTGGCTATGGGACAGGAAGTGAAGGGAAACCTACCCAATGGAATAAAAAAAAATTCCACTTTAAAACCTCTATTAGTCAGGAATGAAAAAAAGTAAGATTTTAACCAATGTTTTTTAAACTGGAGGCTCCAGGGGCTGGTCAGTGGTTTCCTTTGAGACTTTAAATGTTTGACCAGTACGCTAGTGTTTGGTTCAGATTCTTAGTAAATTAATTAATAGGCGTTACTCCTACAGACTCCAAAGCAAGGGTTTGCAAAAATTTCTACATTAACCTCCCTAGCGGTATGATTATTTCAGATTTTTAGTGCTGAAAACGCGGTACCATTTTTTTGCATGGAAATATGTATTTTTTTTTATTGTAGGCCTGTAATTTAGGAATAACTCACTGAAATCTGTCCGAACAAGAGTCTAGTAAACATCCCGGGTATGATAAAACTTGAAACACAAAATCATAAATTATAATTTAATAAATAATCATAAAAAATAATAATATAATAATAATAAATGTAATTCAATAATATAATCAAACCAAAAACACTGAAATTTGAAATATAGCGCCAAGTTCGCGCATCACTGGGCAAAGTCACAGAATCGTTTTCAGTGTCTGATGACGAATTTCCCCCACGAATCATTATCACTCAATTCTGCAAGTGGTTCTGATTTACTATCGCTGTTCTCTAGCCGGTCTAAAACTAATTTTGACCTAAAGGGACGCTTTTTGGACGCCATGGACTTTTCTAAGTTTCCAGGCAGAAAGAACAGTCAAAATGCAGGCAGGGCGCCGGACAAAGCACTCGGGACAAAATGTATGTGAAATGGTTTGATACAGAATGTTTTACTATGTAATAATCATTTTTTAAAAAATTACATTTTTTAAAAATTTCAAATTTGCGGCCGGTTCACGACGTCACAGGGACCGGAACACGGAAGCCGGATGCTGGCATCAACCGGAGGATATGGCCGGGGATGCTGAAGGGGACACATCGTGGGAGCGAAGGACAAGGTAAGCGCTGCAGGGACTCCCTATGCAACGCTGCAGGGTATTCCTGAGTGTAGCTCGGGGTTACCGCTTTTGGTACTGAAACTTTACCCCGAGCTACACTCGGGAATACCGCTAGGGAGGTTAAGTGTCATGTTCACAGGCATTGGATACTGGCATGCCAGTGACCAATAGCCCTGAAAACCTAATGCAGGCCATACATGGTTCGAATTTGGAACGATTTTTCGTCCGAAAATCGAAAACGTCATTCGCTCGGTAATCCAATGGTGCATTAATGATTTCAAAAATCAGCCGACCAAGTTATAAAGTTCACCCCATATAACAGGCAAAACTTCTGCTCCTTCCAGGTCACGGCTCATGCGCATATTCTTTTCTGAAAAATTATCGTACGATTTGACCATCACTGAGTCGAAAATCGGTCGTTGTTCGCAAATTTTCTAACATGCCCGATCACCGAAAAGGGGAGAAAGCACGAAAATCGCCCGGTGCCATTGATCCACTAACAGAGCGAAAATTGGCCGATTATTCTTAGGTCCGATTTTTGGACAAAAAATCGGTCGAATTTCGATCCATGGCAGGCCTAACTCTGCAGGGAAGCCTATCCTACCGTCAGCTAATAACCAAATCTTTTTATTTCTCCCATCAGTCCATCCCCCACAGTTATTGCCTTTTGTTCCACCAGCCCCTCCCTATTAGATTGTAAGCTCCCTGGAGCAGGGCCATCCTAACCCTCTTGTATTGAACTGTATGATTGCTGTATTGTCCCCCTTTATATTGTAAAGCGCTGAGCAAACTGTTGGCACATATAAATCCTGTATAATAACAATAATAATAGCGCATTGTAGTCTTGTTTTCAATTTTTATACTTATACAGTCATGGTCAAAAATATTGGCACCCCTGCATTTCTGTTAGATATTGCCCACTTCACCGAGAAAATTGTTGCAATTACAAGTGTTTCTCATGTTTGTTTCTTTTGTTTGTATTGGTATGCCTCAAAAAAAGTAAAGAAACAAAAAGCCGAACCTGACACATTCCACGCAAAACTCCATAAATGGACTGGACAAAATTATTGGCACCTTCTCAAAATTGTAAGAAACAATTGCATTCCAAGTTTGTGATGCTCCTGTAATTTGGAATTAAAGTCACCTGTATCAATGACCAGGTACTGGCAATATAGAAATCACACCGACAACCAGTTTAAATGGTGAAAAATGGCCTTTCTGTTGTGTGTCTCTGTTTGCCAGGTTAAGCATGGAGAAGAGAAAGAGCAGCCAAGAATTGCTTGAGGATTTGAGAAAAAAAAACTGTGGAAAAGCATGGACAATCTCAAGGTTACAAGTCCATCTCCATAGATCTTAATGTTCCTGTGTCCACTGTGCGCAACATTGTCAAGAGGTTTACAGCTCATCTCCCTGGACGTGGATAAAAGAGAAAAATTGATCAAATATTGTAACAATGGATTGTTTGAATAGTGGCTAAAGAACCTAGGTAAACTTCCAGACAAATTCAGACAGACCTTCAGGCACAGGGTACAACTGTGTCAGCTCACACTAAACATTGCAATCTGAATGAAAAGGGACACTATGGTAGGAGACCCAGGAGGACCCCACCGCTGACTCAGA